GTGTCAGGATGTCTCTGTCTATCTCTCCATGGAGGAGTGGGAGTATCTAGAAGGACACCGGGATCTCTACAAGGACGTCGTGATGGAGAATGAGCCGCCCCTCACATCACCGGGTAAGAGGAGAGAGCAGTACGGAGGGTCCACCTAGATCCAGGGCTAGCGCAAGGCAAAATGGGCACTTGCCTTACGGCGCCAGGGAACAGGGCGGAAAATTGACAGTGACAGTCGCCGGGCGCCGGCATAAGTCCGGCTCCGGCCGTCCAATCGAGCTCAGTTTGGGCTGCCGCTGCGGGCGGCATCTGAGGGACGAGTCGCCGCCGGCGGCAGCGGCGCTCACCTGTGCAGTGTCTCTCAGTCTCAACTTACTTGTCGGGCCAGCCAGGGCAGCGTTATGGGGAAGCCGGAAGAGCGCCACTGAGCCGTCCACTTGGCTAAGTCCTACGTCAGTGAGTGACGTAAGTGGCCCTGCCCCTGGTTCCCCTGGCCGCGCAGCCGCATGTGAAGGAGCGAGGGCTGCAGGAGGCGGAGCAACGGACGGACCGGACACACCAGCAGGCAGTGCGGCCGCGGCGTCATCCTGGAGGCGACGGCAACCCGTTGAGGGACTCGGGAGCCGGTCGGTGCACAGATTTGGAAATTGGAACCCTCTCATGGTGACCCACCCCAGACCAGACACATCGGAGGACTCGTATCGGGATCGGGAGCTGGCTGAAGTGGGAGCGGAGGTGAAGACAGTGATATAGAGCGGTATGTAATGTAACAAAGTGCACGTGGTATGCTGCATTGTATTGTATTGTGCATTGTATAATAAAGCGGCACACTGTAGAACATTAGCAGCTATAGAGGAACAACAAATCCCAGCAATAATACATTATACAGGCTGGTAAATATATCATTGCTGGGATTTGGTGTTCCTCTATAACTGGTCAGTGGTAATCTGCATTGCGCAGTATAATCATTATACAGCGCAATGGAGAATACCACCAGCTATAGAGGACTACAACTCCCAGCAATAATATAGAGCTGCAACAATTAGTCGATTAAAATCGACAATGGAAAACGTTGTCAATGTTTTTCATGGTCGATTTGTCTGCAAAAATTTAAATTTCCTGCCCGCCTGTTCGCAGCTCCATACACGAGTTGCGCCGCGTATGCCGCGCTCACCACACAGGCCGGACACACGCCCGCAGAGCCGCCGCGACTTACAAGGGTTCAGAAACAGGTAAGGGGGACCTGTTTTAAAGTTTCCTGTTTTTTTTAAAAAAGCGGCACACTGCAGAACACAGCTATAGATGAACACCAAATCCCAGCAATAATATATTAAGCAGCCTGTATAATGTATTATTGCTGGGATTTGTAGTCCTCTGTAACTGCTGGTATTCTGCATTAGTGTATAGTGTGTGCGTGCGTGCGCGCGCGTGTGTGCGTGCGCGCGCGTGTGTGCGCGCCGGGGGGGGGCAGCAAAATGCACCTTCGCCTGAGTTGGCAAAAATCCTTGCACCGGCCGTGATCTTGGTTCTCACTGATTCACGACTCAACCCTAACTCACTTGCATGTCTTCGAGCAGACCGTCCCGGGCTCCTAACCAGTGCCTCTCTCACAGTGCAATGTTTTCCGGCGTCCTTGCAGTGCGGGCAGGGCCTGGTGGTTTCTTGTTCATAATTAGGGATGCACCGATATATCGGCCGCCAAAACATATCGGCCGAAAATGGCACTTTTGGCATAATGCCGAAAGTGCCATTTTCCTGCCGATACATCTGCGCATACCAGGTTTCTTTCCTCCCCGCTGGGCGCTGCTCTGTGTCCCAGCGGGGAGGAGAGAATGTGTGACAGCCGGCCGAGCGCTGCGAGAGGAGAGCGCTGTGAGAGGCCGGCGTCTCCTCCCACACCGCTCAGCCTCCTATCACAGTCCGGGAGAGCGGTTTGTGGGCGGAGACAGGCCGCGCTGTCACAAGAGGCTGAGGTCTCATCCCATCACCGCACGCTCAGCCTCCTGTGACAGCGTGTCAGAGAGGAGAGCAAGGTACAAACACTCGGTGATCAGTGATCGCTGAGTGTTTGTACATAGTTGAGGACATGGTATGGTTACTATATCCTCAATTATGAATGAATGGGAAGTGATCTACATCACCTCCTGTTCATTCATGATTGTGGTTATAGTAAACATACTCTGTCCTCATGTTATGAATGAACAGGAACACTCAGTATAGAGGATTCCTGATCATTGATAACAGGGGACACAGAAAAAGAGATTGAGGACTATGTGTCCTCAATCTCTTTTTCTAATTTAAAAGGGAAATGTCAGGGGTCTGTTTAGACCCCCAATATTTCCCCAAAGCCCCTAAAAGTAATGTAAAAAAATACAAATATTTAATAAAAAATTAATAAAAAT